TTCTGCTATTGTTTTGCAGTGAGTTTCACTGCACAAAAGCAATATGGTGCTGTATGTTATCATCTTCTGTTTGCCATCTCATTTTATATGAGAAGTGAGCTTTGTAAAATCAATATTGTAAGGGCACACAACTATGCTCAGAAGTCATTACTACTTGCAGCAATTTTTCTTGATTAATTAGGTTCATTATATTTGGAGAGATAGCTAAGTTTAAGGATTCAACAATGGTAATGGCTCACATTAAAATTAAACTTCTCATTAAAATTAATGTGCGTATATTTCAAATTAAAGCAATGGACTGGTAATAATATTTTAACATTTAACAAATGTATATCAAGTTAAAGGCCCGATTCCTAAGTTTGAATTCATTCAATCCTCACAATAATCCCACTTAGAGATAAGAATATTATTGCCATTTAATAGATGAGGAAACTGACATTGAATGAAAACAGACGTTTAGTCAATATCTACTGGGGTATTAAATGGCACTGACATTTAGTGATAATGAATGTTCCCCCAAAGAATGCACGCCATTGTGTAATAGGCCCTAAATTTCATATTGAGTAATATAATATGTAAAATATGCTGTAGTACCTTTGATTTTTATTATTTTGTTATTTTTAATTAGTATAAATGAATTATAATATATACAGTTGTACTAAAATTTCTAAGTAGCCCTTTAGTAAATGTAATTTCATTAATTCTCTTAATTTTTCTGATATATATATGCTATTATTGAGATGAAATTCATGTTTATAACATTACATTTAATCAAAATTTTTGAAGAAAATTGCTTTAGATATTTGAAGCTTTGATCAAAACACAGATAAATAAAATCCCAAATGACCCACTTACAGAAATTATGGAACATTGAGTGGTATTCATTTAATATTATTTCCAATGATACCCATTCTTTATTTAAAATTTATAGTTATTTCATAGCATAATTTTACAAAATATATGATCACACTCTTTATAATTCATTCAACTGAGGCTAAGAGGTTAAATACTCAAGATTTGTGTGTGTTTGTGTGTGTGTGTGTGTGTGTGTGTATGTGTGTGTTTTAATTAACCAAGGACAACTTTTTAGTTCAAAACTCCAAACAGAACATAATTTCACTATTATTTTTATTCATGTGAACAACTGATTCTAAATAAAGTTGACAAGGTTGTTTATACTCTATTTTATCAGAGCACTACAGAAATTTTACTAATGAATTTTAAATACATTAATATACCAGGCTTCCTATGCTTTAATACTGTCTCCTTAAAGATATACTCCACTGGGCTGGGGATGTGGCTCAAGCGGTAGCATGCTCGCCTGGCATACCCCCAGTGCTGGGTTCGATCCTCAGCACCACATAAAAATAAAGATGTTGTGTCCACTGAAAATTAAAAAAAATAAATATTAAAAAATTCTCTCTCTCTCTTTAAAAAAAAAAGATATACTCCACTTTGTCCACTCTTTTATTTATCTTACATACATAAAATCTAAGAAGAAAGCAAAATATAAATGTGAGTATGTATGTATGTAATATTTTAAAAGAAAGAGCATGTTTATGTGTTGCTTTGTAATCATTTCATATTTTACTTCCAGATTATAACATCCCCTTGAATGACACTAGTTTCCCTTTTCTCTGATTTCATTGAACAATGGCAAGTTTCTTTTACTTCTAGAAGATGCATGTGTTTATTAAAAAATAATTAAATTTTAAAAGTGTATGAGACTTTTTAAGTAGAAATTTTCTTTCAATTAATTTACTTAGTCATTGATTTCTCTCATTGCAACCAAAGTTAGAATTATACTCTATTAAGAGATGCTGGACAAGTTAAAGCCTTTAAGCTTGGGATTGGAAGAAATCCTGGAAGAAGTAAAAAGTGATTTTTGCATTAAATCAGAAGCTTCCCTGATAAGATTTTCAAGCCAACTAGCTGGCTTTCCATCTGTTTTCTACCTGTTTTAGGAGATATTTGGATAAAGGCTAAGGAACCATTGACATACACTTAGAGAATGAAAGTATTCTTGTTTATATTATCAATGAATTCCACTCTGTGTTATTTAAATAAGTATTTTCCCCATAATTGAATGCCTTCATTAAACAAAATCTATGCAACATAGAGGTGGTGTCTCAATAGAGAGGTTCCAGGACTGGATGAGAACATGGCCGCCTCAGACTTACATAGATTCTCCTGAGTTCAGATGGCCCGACAGATCTGTGCCCCCTGTGAACTGGAAGATAAAAGGAGTCAGGGATAAGAGTAGTTCCAGAAGAAAACAAAATCAAACAAACAACAACAACAAMAAAAAAAMCCCCAATTTCCTCATTCTATTTCCAGTCTTCTAATTATTTATACACTGTGAAACAAAAACTTTCACAAGTATCTGTTGGAAAGCTATCATAGAAAAATAAAGATAAATGCCAAGATGCTGGAAATGATGGCAGGGATTTCTTCTTAGGATTAACCCTGTGACATATGCTTTACAGGCACTGTCTTATTTAGTCCTCACATAATGATGTAATGTATTATTATCATCCTGAAATAGAGATGAGAAATCAAAAGTTATAAAGGCTAAATAACTTGCCTGAGGTCCCAGCAGTAGTAAATGGTCTGATGGGCTTCAGAGCCAGCTCCATCTGACTCCACAACTCATTCTGCTCATCCTTATGCTTCTTTTAACATTAAGCCATAGCACTTGTGGCTCCTGCCTATGGAGAAACTGGCACGATTGAAGTGTGATTGAACCCAAAGTTTATAGTAGAAAGGCAAAGAATTCTCTCTCTTTAATGATGTGTAGATGCACATCATCAAATGAATATTTGAAGTTCTGAACAGTATAAAACCTTACACACACACACACACACACACACACACACACAGCACTATACAACCATACAAATATAACATAGTCTTAGTTAAGGAAAATGACCACCAAATAAAGAGCATTTAACTGTAAACCATGAGTTTATGTTCTAATTTGGGAGACAATCATACAAGAAATTTTCTTTACACTTTAATGTATTCAATTTAGAGATCATGGATATGTCCTATATATTATCATGTAAATGGGTGCATCCAGTTATTCACATCTTTCTGGAAATTTAGCCATTCCTAGATATGCATTAGAAGACACTCTGTTTTCTAAAGCAAATGCTTTCTTTTTTCTGTTGTAATTTTAGGATGTTTTTACCTAGGATCTATTTTTTTAAAAATTTCACAATCCCAATTCTAGGTTTTGGTCTTATAAAAATGCTAGCATATGAATAGGCAATACACACACATGTATATATATCCACACATGTGTATATATGCATACAACATATATATGATAGATTGGATAGATACAGATAAGTATGGCTGTCTCTTACAACTTATATGTAAGAAAGGCATATTTAAACAAATTAGATGTTTTTCAACAGGAGATTGTTTAATGTATCATGTAATATCAAAAATAGTGAAATCAATATATATGAATGGGTTTTAGAAGAACCATTAAAATATTATTACATAAAAAATTGAAATTGCAAGATGATACTATATGTACAATTTGAGTCATATCTAGTTAAAAATTCCATTGTGTGTGGGGGAAGGGGGTGATCTGGGTGTATGTTTACATACTGTGCTATAGGATGGTAAGTTATGGTGTAGACATACCAATTCTAGAACTCTTTATGCCAAATTATTCACAAGTGGACAGGGGCTTCAAGTTGTAGGAAAACTTTCACTTTTAAGTTCTATACATCTGAGTTATTTATTTCTTGCAAAATTATCTATTATAAATTAAAAAATAATAATAGTTTGCATAATTTGCTTGGCACTCCTTGTTCATGAATATGACAATTCATCTTTTCAGTACAATTTGTCTTAGCTTTAGGCATAAAGTCACAGAGTTTATGGTCTGTCTTACATTCTTTTGCCCCTCTGCCTTTCCATATTTTATACTCTCTGTGAAGAATCCCTTACCTTCACTTCTCATGGTCGGGTTCCCAGATCTAATTCCAGTACTTCTATTAACATTTTATGTGTATATTTCTTATTTATTTTCCCTCCTCCATTCTCATTTCAGATTTTTCATTTTTGTTACATCACATCCTGGTCTGCCTTGTACTAAACTAAAATATCCATATGAGCCATGCATGAAATTGAAATATCTTCATGCTTATTTCTTTCTTCTATGGTTATGTTATCATTATATTGCATTAATAGGTAAAAATTAGTAACAATTATTTTTGTGAAATGTTTGAACAGTTTCAGCTTTTCCTTATATCCTGATCTGTTGCTGAAGAGTCACCTCCAATCTATGTCAAATTGCCAGCCTTGTGGCTTGCAATCTGCTTCTCAGTTCTATATTGTAATTTATGTATTATAACTACATTGGCTGCCTATGTTCTCTAATATAAACACATTTCAAGAGGCTTAAATGAGAGATGACAGTCCAAACAAAGTATCTTAGACAGGAAGGCATTTGTAATTATTTTATAAAACGATGCCAAAATATTGTCACATACAGTATCTCATATGACAAATTCAATAAAGTCTCAGAGAAAAACACAAAACTTTATAAAGTTCCTCTGTAAATCAGTCCAGGTGGCTTCCTTTTACATTGACAGGCAGGATTATTTTCAAAAGGATAGGAGAAGGAGAGAGAGAGAGAGAGAGAGAGAGAGAGAGAGAGAGAGAGAGAGAGAGAGAGAGAGAAACCCAAACTGATCTGCTATAGAAGTTTCCTCGGTAGTCATCCAGGAAGGGGAGTTTTGCTCTGTCACAAGTGACTAGTCCCTGATTTTGAAAGCGTGAATCATCCTCTTTGAAACAAGAGATAAGTGGGGGAAAGAACTGTTTCAAAATTATTTTACAACTATTTCCTTTTGAGCTATGACTTCTTAAACTGGAATGTGATCCAGAATAGCTTCCCTTTGGATCCAACATTTGTCTTAAGAATTTTTATTGTCTCTCTTTTCCCTCTCCCATCTCACTTCTTCCCTCCCTCTGTTCATCAGATTTACACTGACTGGGCCAACCACTACCTAGCAAAATCAGGCCACAAGCGGCTGATCAAGGATTTGCAACAGGACATCGCAGATGGAGTACTGCTAGCAGAAATCATCCAAATCATTGGTAAGACCTGCCCTCTGAGAGGAAGCATGAGAGTCTCTGCTCTCAACCCCTTTGGTAAATTACAGTTTAAGTAGAATGCATAGCAAATTGTTCCATGTGTCTTGGAGATGAATGTGGCTCTCCCCTGATTTAATTAAACATGTTTATGTGAGGATGTTTGAGAAGGACGGTTTGGCCATACTTTTCAATAGCTAGAATTGTATCTTTACATACACGGAATTGTCAGAAATGAATGCTTCATTAAGCCATATGTCTCCCATGTGTGCATTTCTTTATGGGGAGCAACTCATACATTCTGAGATTCCTTGAAACTGTATCTTGATCCAGCAGGGACAATTGTGAAAGGTTTCATGTCAGCAGTCATTTGGCACAAGTGAAAGAATTAGCAACAACTTCCTTCTCACTCATTTTTTTTTCCCCTTGATTTGTGCATGTGGAATTGGTGGCTGCTAACAAGTGTGTCCTATTGTACTTGGCTTGGGAGATCGAGTAAATTTAGCAGCAACATTTTTTGCTTATTTCTTTTTAAATCTCTTTTTTTTCTGTTTTACTTCATTGCTTAAGCATGTTGTCCTTTTTTTCTCTCTTTCATTTTATTTCTTGGCTTTAGCAAATGAAAAAGTTGAAGATATCAATGGATGTCCTAGAAGTCAGTCTCAGATGGTAAGAATCATATTTATTCTCAATATATAATGCTTATCATCATTTCCAGAATTAACTACATTTGTAAATGGGTTAGAAATTTCTTGGCATGCCCTCCTGCTTGTTGAAGAAACCATTTGATCACACTCTGTCATATGCATGAGAGTCTCTGGATTTCTATGGATACAGTTTATGCATATGATAACATGAGTACAATTAAATAACTCTGAATCCTGTGTGACATATTTCCAGGTGTTTTTAGATCCTTGACTTTTGTCATTCTGATGTTCTGGATAATTTAATTCTGGTCACTGTTCTTTATGGTTTTAAATTTCAGTTCCAATTTTAAGTGTTACCTTTTTATCTCAACAACTATTTTTGAGAACAGTATTTGCCATGTGCATTTTAAAAATATATGAATAGTATTTATTTTGTTCATAAAGAAATCCAATGAAGCACATGGGCTGTTTGACACTATTTAAATATTTCTGAAGCCATTGCTGTTTTAAGTTTGCTGAGCAGTGACTGGTTTTGAAATATGATTCACAGCGTGTTCCAGAAAGCCCTCAAACTGGAGGTCTGTCTGTCCCCCAGCTATCTCTTACTTTCACCACCTAGTAAAGTTTCAAGTTTTATAATAAAATCATAGACTGATAAACTGCTGGGATAAAAATCACTTTTATAATTAAATAGCCACAACTTAATTTTATAGGACAACCTAAAACACAAATGCCTTAAGTGAAGTTTTATCATGTAGATATCATCATGAATGATAGCCACACTCCACAAAATTTGGCTTCTTTTTAGCACAGAATAGACACTTACAATGGACTTAATAAATTCTTAATTGTCAGATACTTGGAAGAATGAAAAAACAAACAAACTTGTGAACTTTTAAAATCTGCTGACCTGCATTACTTAATGTCAGAAAACTGAAATCCAAAATAATAAAAGGGATTTATTTTTAAGGAATGAGTAATTAGCTTGTCTCTTTCTCTCAAAGAAGCACTCCAAAGGCCTATAAAGATGTCATGAAATCTCTCTCGCTGTTATGAAACCATCACTATAAAAGAAAGGTTCTCAATAAAATATTTCAGTTTTAAGGAAATTTCCTGATCCGATTACTCTGGTCACAAACATAACTCTGAAAATTAATTGAAGTTGTTTTCTGAAGKTTTACTGAGAGCAAGCCGAGATAGAATATATTTAGACCCTACTAACTCATAGCTATGTTATGTTGGAAAAACATGTAACCTCTTTGAACCTTGACTTTCTCATCTGCAAAATAAGCCTTAATTAGAATGTGGTAATAAAATATGTATATGAACATTATTATTAATTAAGCTGAAAAAAATGCAGAGTAGCATTACCATAAACTATAAAGAGCAACATGCATTGATTGACACCTGTTAAAATATTTTTAGGGCTTTATATTGAAAAGCTCTATAGTCCCAGAAAATCATATATTGTTTTTTAATCCTAACACTCATTGGTTTTGCTTTTAATATTCAAACCAAAAGACGAGTTCCATACTACAAGATAGTTAAATCTAGTAACTCTTACCTACTCTGCTGTCATTCCCATTTGATTATGAATACAGAGAACCAATAATTGAGTAAGTTTGTACTCTATGACAGAAAAAAATCAGACTCAAAAGCTAGTGATTATAGATAGATATAGTCCTTAGATATTTGTCTGAAGCATCTATAGCTAGAGATTCAACAAATATGTGAAAGTATTTTCATTAGTATAAGACTTTGTGAAATTTTTATATTTTTTTACTTCTTGTTAGCTCTAACATACCATGTAATTTCTAGGATGATAGATATTTCTATCTTAATAGTCAAGCTTAAAAAAAAATAGAAAAAGAAAGACCAAAGTCTCAGAAATTGCAAATGCTATGAAAAAAGTGTTTTTTCCCCAGACAAAAATTATTAGTCAGAATCATATTAAATTTTGAATAAGAATGACTCAAATCTTCCTTTTCTTCTTATGTTTGAATTTTGAATCTGAAATTGGCATAGCCACAGTGTGTTGGTTCAGAATGTAAAAGAAACAAATGCAACTTTTTGATTGAAGTATTTTTTCCTCTGTTCTTCAGAATTTGCAGTGGTACTATGTTATTAATGAATGGAATTGCTCCACTGTGAGGGAGACAAGAAAGTAAAGAGAATTATGGTAGCATGACTAGGCTTATGAATTTCATTTCTACTCCAAACAGGATGTCGACTTTTATTGCACAACATCAGGAGGTTCTGCATTAGTAACAATGAGTTCTGTCCTTGTTCATACACCTACTTTTATCATATCTTCTTCTTTTTGTGACATTGATTGCTCTTTGTGTTTAATAACAAAAAGTAAGGTAAAACTAAGTCACTGTATTTGGTAGTCATAGATTGTCTTTAAGTTTCAAACTTGATGATATTTAATGAATCATTTTAATCTTTGATTAATATGTTTTCTTGTGAGGCATGAATGTATATTACATTAACGAATTCTCCTAGCAGTTAACTAAATCACACTTAGCTAAAGTTTATCCAGCACCTAAAGTACTAGGTATAGGGACACTTGAAAGAACTACATATGAAGATCAGAGGTGCAGTTTAGATAATAACAGTACTACAGTTGCACAGGCAAGAAAAAGACTGAGCAGAGAGTGAACTTAGTGTGTTCCAGATGCGGGCAGATAGATGCCCTGTGGTTTGAGCATAGTCAGAGCTGTTTGAAGGGGAGGATGAAAGCATGATGATGTTGGGCCCAAATAAGGAGTTTGCATGGTGTTCTAACTTAGTTGAGTAACCTCGAAGATTTTTGAAGCTGGGCTGTGGCATCATTTGATGAAAATATATATTTTTTTAATCACCCTATTTTTTCTGGGATTTTTTGCCAAATGAATGTAGAGGATCATCCACTTGTTTTTAAACAGGGAGTTTTAAAAAGCCCACAATGTTGTGGTATAAATGAGTAAGTAATTACCATTAAGTAAGGTCAGTGTTGTCATTGGAGAAAACAGCCTAAAATGTGAAAGGAGGAAGATGATACATTAATATTTTGACATGGAGAGTAAGTAGGAGGTGATTTTAGGCAATAGACCTATGTTTCTAAATGTCTGAGAAAAGCTTTGGCTGAACTCTACTTAGAGTACATAGTTAATAGTTAAAGCCATGGGCAAGGATGAGACCTTGCAGGAAGTCTGTGTGAAGTCAACAGTGAAAAAAGCTAAGGGTCTTATAATGAGGATAGCAACATTTATGTGGCAGACAGATGTGTAGGAATCAGGAGGGAGAAAGAGCCATAAGAATGTGAGACCATCATTAAGCAAGTGGATCACAGACATGTGTTATTAATCCTTTGAGTAAATACAACAGTTGCAGCTATGGTACTTGCACTAGCCCAGAGAGGTAGAAAGAAGTGAGATGAGCTAAACATGACAGATGCTGTCAAATCCTACCTAGCCATCTAGTTGGTATGCTGGAATGAGAAAGTTAGTATTGGTAATTGTACAGGCACGGGTGATGTGAATGTGAGAATGTGACGATCTTTCTGTAGAGTGATAGAGTGTTAACAAGTAAATAAGAGATGCTGATATCTATAGAGTTATAAATAATTTTTCTAGGAGTGCTCTGTTGAAGAGAAGAAAAATTATATATAGTTCAAGAGAAAGGCTGTGTTGAGGGTAGTTTTTATAAGGAAGGAAGCAAGCAAGAAGAAAGCAGTAAACAGGCAGATTGGGTCCAGGGGAGTGGGGTGATAAGTGATGATGTGAAATCCTAAAGGAAATCATGGAGGAGGAAATTTCAAAGTCCACATAGGAGATCCACTATCAGGAAAGAATGGGGAGACATATTCCTTTGTGATGTGTCATAAGGGAATATGATTAGGTTAAGATGTGGGTATTTGAAATAGATTAAACAGAAATTGAAGGAGTTAAAATCAATGTGTAATGACTTCAGAATAGATACTACGAATGTATGCTCTATGTGTTTCTCTAATGGTGTCATTATAATAAAGAAAATTCAACAAGTATGTTATTATATATAGTACCTAATATTAAATAAATTTACACATATATACATATATCTTACTCTTTCAAATAACATGATATAAAAGTCACATATTTAAGAAAAATATGAATTTTTACCAATTTATTATTAGTATTATTTTTATTCAATGAATCCCAGTGTCAAAGTCATGGTTATTATTTTTTTTATATAATGATAAACTCCTACAAACTAAGGGCTGTTTTTTWAAAAAAAAATAGCACTTAGTTTGTAGGAGCTTATCAAACACTATATTTACCCTTATTTGAAGATGAAGCTGCTAATACAGATGACACCTGTTGAGTAATTTCTAGGTGGGTGGTATCAGGATTCAAAATATATGCTGCATGCCATAACTTTGATGCACTTAGATGAGGAAATAAATTAGTAAACTATTAATACCAGGAATGTCTGGAATGGCCTGCAGATTAAAAATAGAGAAAAAAATGCCCAACATTTATTTGAAATGCAGAGGCACAAGTGCAAGATTCTTAGACAAAAATGTTAGACATGTAAGAGAAAGGTTGTTTTGAAAACAAGTTTTTATTTATTTTAAAATAGACCATTATATTTAAGGATCCATACAAATGCTCAGGGGAATTAGGACAGTCGATTGTGTGAAATGAAATGGTTGTGTGAAATGGTTGCAAAGACTTAGATTAAACAGCACAACTAAGGATCTAGCAAAGGCACTGGCTCACAGCTTGCCCTTCCTTTGTCTTCACCCTAGTAGCCCAAGTGTTTATCAGCCATGACCTTCCACCTTATTTTTGATCATGTCATATATGTTATTGTATGAAATTTGCTGATTGTGAGGATCTTTGGAACAGCCATTCATCATACTCTTTTCATTCCTAGAAGAGAGAAAAGTACAGTCCAGTCTTTCCTCCCTGTCTCATTTTGTGTACCACAGGATTATGGCTTCAGAATAAATACTGTTATAGGTTTTACAGACATCTTTATTCCATTTCTATAGTTAGG